AGACACACACACACAGACACACACACACAGACACACACACACACACACACACACAGAGACACACACACTTCTGATAAAGTCTATATAACATCTCAAGAAACTTTCATCATTTCAATTCATTTGCAAAAACATAACAATTTTTTCTTTGTGCATTCCAATTAATCTCAATCAAACTGCAGTTGGGTTATCTGTTTTTGCAAATCAACTCTTCATATAATGTGAAGAACATCTCCATCAGAGCAGTGCTGTTTTGGTATCCGTGAGATACGACTATAGTTTTTATTATTATTTTGAACATGACTTAATTTTTATGTTTTTAAAATTTTTATAATTAAAATTTTAGTTGAAGTTTTAATCATTTTGTTGAGTGCTTTTGGTATTTGTATTAATAAAAATAAAAAACTTTATTATATATTTTATAAATTATTTTTTTAATTTCATTTATTAAATTTTTTATAATTATTTATTTATTTAATTTTGTGTTATTTTAGTACATTCATTTAAACCAGAGAGCAAAAATCTAATTTGATTGAGGGACGTGGACCAAAAGTAAAAGTTCCATGATATCCAACTATATTAAAATGTATTAATTTTTACTGATAATTTTTAAATGATTAAAAAAAATAGACATAAATAATTTTTAAATAAAAATAATTTATTTTAATCAAACTGATTTTTAACAATTAAAAAATAAAACTAAAAAGGTTAAAATAACAATATAAATAATAAATGAAGATATGCTTCAATAGCATGTCTTTTCCTACTTTATTCCTATTTATAAGTTTAAGTTTTTTTATGTTTATTTCAGTTTATTTTATTTCAAGCAACACAAGTTTTTTATGGTTTTAGTTTTAGTTAACAATAAATCAAAAATGAATAATGACATATATATTATTAACTCTGGTCTTTACCGGAGCGAAGGTGACAGAAACGATCAGCTGACTGTTTCTCGTCAAACTAACGCTGATCTGTGACGTTAAACACTCGCACTAACCAGCTGACATTAGTGGTTGTGGGTGGGTAGAGATGCATATTCATATGGTGTTTCATTCAGAGCAGAAATATGAATCTCTCACTGAAACGTACCGGATGTTGATGCCCTGTTTGTAGATCTTACAGGCGTCGGAGGGTAAAATCCGTGAGAGTAAAGGCACTGAGGAAGAGAAAATCAACCTCAAACACATCTGCTGGACAATCCACGCAATAAACTGATTCAACATGTTATGCCACAGAAAAACAGACCTGATAGAAAACGAGCCATGATTTCAGACATATGCATTAGTTTTGTTTTAACACATTTCATTTGAACTAAAATAAATTAAAAATAATGTATTACAGTAATGATAATCTGGGGTTTAAAAGGGCTAATTATTATGAAAATAAATGTCCTCCATGTCCTGCAGTGCTGCGGTTGAGTTTTGTCAGGACGCAGTGACAGTGTGTGTCCAGCAGAGGAAGTGTGTGTGTGTGTGTGTGTGTGTGTGTGTGTGTGAGAGAGAGTGTGTGTGTGTGTGTGTGTGTGTGTGTGTGTGTGTGTGTGTGTGTGTGTGTGTGAGTCTGTGTGTGTTTGACATGAGGCCACGCCCACAGATGGATGACCCCAGCGCTGTAAACAATCCGTGTGCCCCGTCACACACACACTGAGGTGATCCAGTAACAGCGACTCTAACGACTAAAACACAAGGCTAACGATCAGAACTCCACTCACCCCAGCTCTGGAAATCCCAGTGCAGCTCCAGATAGAAATCCCCCAGCTACAGAACAACAACACAACACAAGCACGTCACTGATACACAGAAACAGCGATGGTGCTCAGATTAATAAAGCAGGGTCAGCTGTCTGATTAACATGAGCACCTGTCTGATGAGGGGTTTCTGTTTTACAACAAAATACTATTTCAGTTTTAGTTTTCAACTTCAAAAATCCAAGTTTAATGTTACATGTTGTTTCTTTGTAATAAATTATGAAATTTAATAGCAATTTCTCAATTGCTTTCCCACATGAATTTACAATACAATAATTCAACAATTTTACAGTACTATAAACATATTGCAATTATTAAAGTTTTTTTTCATCTTGATATTTTACAGAAAGCCAAAAAATGTCCCAATTGTTAAATGCACTTTTTGTATTTAATTATTTATTGCCATATTAACAACTGCTATTAATAGAAATCAAAATAAAGTAAAATAAAGAAAATTACTTGCACAATAACTTTCTTACAACAATATATATACAAAATGTAGCAATTATAAAAGCTCTGTCAGCTTAATATTTGACAGAAATTATAAAAATTTATTGTTTTTTTAAATGCATTTTTGCTTATTTATTTATTAATTGCCATTAAAGGTGTGCGATATATATCATCTGCAATAATATCGTAATTGTTGTTTTAACGATGTGCGATTTGACATTAGAGTATTTTGCAAAAACCATTCAAAACAGCTAAAGAGTGCACACACACATTACGTGAAGTATAGACTAGAGCGAGTGCGCATTGATTCAGTCTAAAATACACTTAGAATGATCACAAATTCAAGATATAGGGGCAGAAAATATATATATTTATACCACTTCATATAGTTAATCAAGTTCACACGAAGAGTGACGTTTTTTTCTCTAAAAATTACTATAATTACAAATGTGATATTGATTTTTTACAACAGTTCAATAAACTATAAGTTAACTAAGAGACTTATGTTTTAGACACCATATTGCCTGTTTTTGCGCTATTTCGACAACAAACATAATTCCAAACACAGCCACAGCACTGTTTTGTGTCTCTGAGCAACAGGACGGTGATTCGTTCCCGAATGAATCACTCGTTTAAATGATTCGGTTCAATCGCAATGACTCGCTTATTAACAGTGACTTGCTGCCACCTACTGGCGGTTTTAAATTCACATTTAAAGTATCTTTTATTATTTAGATAATTTCAAATATCAGTATTAAACGTTTTATGTTTAATATATCAAAATATGATTATTAATGCATTTGTAACTGCAGGTTAAAGCATTCATGTCCTGCATTAAACAGCGTGTAAATACATCTAAATGCCTCTTCAGATGCAGATTCTGTGTTTCCTCTGCGTTGCAAAGATTAATTTTCTTGATAATGATTTCATTTGCTTGGTAAAAACCCAAATTTTGTATTAAATGTAAGAATTTGATTCAAAAGATAATGCACTTTTAGAAAAAAAATGGCTTTATAAAGGTAAAAATGCCCATAAAAAATCAATTTAAACTTATTGGAAAAGATTAATTTCTAACACTGCTGTGAACTGACCACAGAACATGAAGAATATCAAAAAATTCAGGAGGGCAGTCCTTAAGATATCAGCACAATAACACACTCAGCAGAATATCGTTTAATTATCGTTATCGATAAAATCCCAGAAAATATCGAGATATTATTTTTTGTCAATATTGCACACCCCTAATTGCCATATTAGCAGCAAATTCTATTAGTAGACAATAAATAAAACTTCAAATAAATTAATAAAACTATATTCACAAAAATTTAACAATTTCTTTCTTACAACAGTATTTATAAAACACAGGAATTAAAAAAGCTCTTTTAGCTTGATATTTGATAGAAATTATAAACATTTCCAGTTTTTTAAATGCATTTTTGCTTATTTATTTATTTATTGCCATATTAGTTGCAAAGGCTATCAGTAGAAATTAAAATAATAATTTCACTTCAATAAATTAAGAAAATTATACACAATAATTTAACAATATCTTGGTTAAAACAATATACAAATATAGTAATTATAAAAGCTCTTTCAGCCTGATATTTCAGCTAATTTTAAATGCATTTAATTAATTAATTTCTTTATTAACTGCCATATTACCAGCAAATACTATTAGTAGAAATTAAAATAAAACTTCAAATAAATTAAGAAAACTATATTCAATTTCTTTCTTACAATAGTATATATAAAACACAGCAATTATAAAAGCACTTTCAGCATTATATTTTAAGGAAAACCTAAAATGTTCCCATTTTTAAGACAAATTTCAGAATAAAACCATTGGCTGATATTATTAAAGGCAAGACATCCCATCAGTAAGTTAATAACTAAAATATGCACTCAAAGTCATTGTTTGTTATGAGCGCTCGTGTGAATCTGAAGTGTCTGCAGTGAGGTGACATTGAGTATCTTCTTTCCTGTAGGTCATTTCCTGTCTGCAGATCATTCCCAGATGCCTCAGTCTCTCAGCGCCGATGCTAATTAATACACGGGGACTCTGAGTGTGTGTGTGTGTGTGGCCTGCTGCTTTACCTCTTTCAGTGCTTTGAGCAGACGGGGTCTCTTGTCCTCCACACTCTCTCGTGACTGCTGCTTCAGCTTCCTCAGCAGAGCCGTGACTGAAACACAACACACACACAAACATCAATGATTAACTTCCCATTTCATCCGTCACCTGAAAATAATCAAATAATAAAAATAATAGCAGTCTTCACAGGAATGTCATTTACATCATCAGAGCTCAATATCCTTCAGTAGGCCAATTTTTTTATATATAGTCCTTTACACAAAAACATGGTTTCAAAACAGCTTTAAGTGAATGGGTGCCGTCAGAATGAGAGTCCAAACAGCTGATAAAAACATCACAATAATCCACAAGTAATCCACAGCACTCCAGTCCATCAGTTAACATCTGGAGAAGACAAAAGCTGAAACTAATCCAGCATTAAGACGTTTTTAACTCAAAGCAGCTCCGCTCATGAACGCTTCTTTATCAGATCAAATGAAAATGCCATCGAAACTTTTCTGAAGACAGTCAATTCCCTTCAGAGATACATTCATATAAAACACCCGCGCCGTGTTATGATTTTGAAACGTGCAGTGCTCATGTTTATTCAACGAAGTCAAACGCCACAAATAAATTAATGTATGGGAAACACCGGTAATGTACATCGAAATATCGGAAATGTGTTTAAAAATCATATCACCGTTATTGAAAAAAATTATATCGCGATACATATTGATATTGAATTATTGTCCAGCCCTATGAAATAGTATCAAAAGTATTGAAATATCAAAAGTACTGAAATTTTACGCAAATACTGAAATAGTGTCGAGATGCTGAAATAATATCTAAAGTATTGAAATATCAAAAGTACTGAAAATTTATCAAAATACTGATATATTATCAAAAGTACTGCATTAGTACCAAAAGTACTGAAATATTACGAAAATACTGAAATAGTATCAAAATGCTGAAATAGTATCAAAAGTACTGCATTAGTACCAAAAGTACTGAAATATTACGAAAATACTGAAATAGTATCAAAATGCTGAAATAGTATCAAATCAACCATTAACTTCCCACTTCATCCGTCACCTGAAAATATGGTTTCAAAACAGCTTTATATGAATGGGTGCCGTCAGAATGAGAGTCCAAGCAGCTGATAAAAACAACTTTTACGCAAATACTGAAATAGTGTCGAGATGCTGAAATAGCATCTAAAGTATTGAAATATCAAAAGTACTGAAAATTTATCAAAATACTGATATATTATCAAAAGTACTGCATTAGTACCAAAAGTACTGAAATATTACGAAAATACTGAAATAGTATCAAAATGCTGAAATAGTTTCAAAATGCTGAAATAGTATCAAAAGTACTGAAATTTTACGCAAATACTGAAATAGTGTTGAGATGCTGAAATAGTATCTAAAGTATTGAAATATCAAAAGTACTGAAAATTTATCAAAATACTGATATATTATCAAAAGTACTGCATTAGAACCAAAAGTACTGAAATATTACGAAAATACTGAAATAGTATCAAAATGCTGAAATAGTCAAAGCAGCTCAGCTCATGAACGCTACTTTATCAGATAAAACTGAAAATGTCATCGAAACTTTTCTGAAGACAGTCGGTTTCCTTCAGAGATACATTCATATAAAAAACCAAAAGTACTGAAATATTACGAAAATACTGAAATAGTATCAAAAGTACTGAAATTTTATTAAACCACTTGAAATATCACCAAAAGTAATGAAATAGTATAAAACGTATTGAAATAGCACCAAATGAAATCAGACACATTGATCACTCTAGGGTTGATCAAATACACAAGCAGACAGTATTCAGCATTTCTCTCAAACTCTTCTAAATTTACTGCAGCTCAAGGACAGACTGTCACTAGTACATGTTTTATCCCGTTACAACCTTAATAAACATCTCATAAAAGCACATTTTTAGAGTACAGACCTTCTTCGTGTTTTTAATTAGAGACATTCTGATCATGCTACCTAAATCAGCTGTAACATTTGAAATGACTGTCGTTTTGTTTTTCGTTCTCTGTTGATCTCCGTCACGTCTGGACTTGTCACACGAGCACACAAACACCTCCATCGCTGAACTAATACGGATAATTTTCAGTATTTCTCATTTTCATTTAGGCACTAAAATAACTAAAACTGAACAAACTGAAACTTAAAAAAAAACCAAACATATTTATAAATAATAAAAATGACAAAACAATGAAAATTATTACAAAAATAATAATAAATGACAAACACAACAAAATTAAAAATTTAAATTGAAACACAAAATATAAAAATAAAATTAATTAAAGATATGAGCTAAATCTATAACAGTATATCAATGCCGTACTCATCTGTCGGTCTCCATAGCTGATGGCCTCGGCGAGTGGACTCCATCCCTGAGCGTTTTTCACCTTCACTGGTGCATTATGGGCCAGCAGGAGATGAGCACATTCTGAGGAGGAGAGAAGAGCAGATCAATGCTTCCTTACAGTCCCTTGAACGTCTGATTTCACTCGCATCACAGACAGAGACACTGCAATCACACTGATAAACCAAACACTAACTACATCTACTGTCTCCAAACTGTACAGACTTCTGTCTGTCAAATATTGCGTCTGTGCATCTTTCTTTTCAATAAATGTCCCTTATTTTGCTGTTTTATTATGCATTACAGATGCTTTAAGACACAGCAGAACCCTTTCACCCAGCGCTGCACGAGCTCCAGAAAGGGAAGCATGCCACTGAAATGATGCCCAGATCCCGATTTAAACATTAAAGGAGGTGCAGCAGCTTAATTTAACATCCCTCTTCTGCTGCGGCCACAAAGGAATGCCTTTCATTTCAGCGTTCAGAAGAAAGAAACGCCTCCGAGCTCTTCACAGGTCAAACACTAGTGGACGTCTAGAGCCAGTAAAGATGAAATACTAGCACACTACACACTATATACTGCTGACTTCTGAAAACAACACTTGAAAGAGAATGCAGTAAAAGCGCCTGCTAAATGCATTTACATTTATGTATCAACGTAAATGCATAACTGTTAATGTAAATATCACTTCTGGTTCATCTGTCAAACTGGAAATGGAAGGTCAAGTCTAATGCACTGCATTGTGGGATACAGTATGCTATGGAAGCTTATTTAAAAAAAAGTTAGTCAAAAGGTTATTGCTGTTTATGTGACAATTCAGTTTTGTTTTATCGCAATTCTGAGAAAAAAAATCTGAGCTGCCAAATAGAAAGTCAGAATCGTGAGATAAAAAGTCGCAACTACCATTTTTATATTTTTAAAATGTTAAATCAGAATTCGGAGGGGGAAAAAAGCCAGAATTGCGAGAAGAAAAATCTAAATTGTTAGATATAACGTCGCAATTGCAAAAAGACAGAATTGTGAGAAAAAGTTGTAACTACATTTTTTTATTCCATGGTGAAAACAGAAATTGCAAAATGTAAAGTCGAAATAGAATTGCGAAATTGTGGGTTCATAACTTGCAATTTTGAAGAAAAAAGTCAAGAATTGTAAGATGAAAAAGACGCAATTACCTTTTTAAATTTTTATTCTGTGCCGGAAACAAAAAAAAAAAGCGAGACGTAAAGTCAGAATTGCGAGAAAAAGTCAGAATTCCGAGAAAAAAGTCAGAATTCCGAGAAAAAAGTCAGAATTGCGAGAAAAAGTCAGAATTCTGAGAAAAAGTCAGAATTGCGAGAAAAAGTCTGAATTGCGAGAAAAAAGTCAGAATTGCAAGAAAAAAGTCGGAACTGCGAAAAAGTCAGAATCGCGAGAAAAAGTCAGAATTGCGAGACAGAAAGTCTAAATTGTGACAATGTTGCCATTGCACAAAAAGAGTCAGAATTTTGAGATAAAAAGTTGCAACTACCTTTTCCATTCTATTCCATGTTGAAAACAAAATTACAAAATGTAAAGACAAAATTAAGAAAAAAAAATAGAATTGCGACATGAAAACTCAAAATTGCAGGTTTATCACTTGCAATTCTGAGGGGAAAAAAGTCAGAATTGTGTGATAATAAGTTGCAAGTACCTTTTGTTATTTTTCATTGGAAACAAGCTTCCATTCGCAGTGCTTTGGTTGCGCTCTGCACGTGAAATCATGCAGACAGAAACCTCACATACTGCACATTTATCATGTCACTGTGATCAGCGTCAGTTCGTTGTGATGTGTTCAGTCTCCGCTTCAGCGGAGAAACACAGCGACGGCAGCAAGTTTGAGTCGCTGCCAAGTGTTTGTTGACCTTCTGCGCCGCTCTGTTAGCGCTTAACAATGTCCTTCTCTCCGCTAGAAACGCTCAGCACAGCCCAACGGCTTTTATTTCAGATTCAGTCAATGACGAGATCGTGACGGGTTTGTTGTACTGCTCTATACACAGATTCAATTGAATAAATAATCAAGATTAAAATCACGACTACCAAAAAACACATAAATGCATTTTTGTAAGAAAAATATCCATATTCAAAACTTAATAATCACTTTAATGTAGCTTGCGCTCACTGTTGTACACAGAAGCAGCTCCAGGCGGATGACGTATGAGCGGAGAGATCAAAACAAAACAACGGTCACTAATTAGAAGCACAGAACGAGGATTTGTAAAGAAGAATGTCGGAGAATTTGGATATAAGCCAAGAGGAGACTGGTTTTCCTTTGCTAAAGTAAGGAAACTTTGCTTCCTTTGCTCCTGTTAACAAACGTTGGTTTTCACGAGACTCACCGGCGCATGCGCATCTCTGAGCTAATGTGAGTGAGTGTGTGT